TGCGCCCTCTTGGTCGGACACAATAACTTTTGGTGGTCCAAAGTAGCGTGCCCAACATCTCAGGAAAACTTGGTGCCATGTCTCAGCATCCTTGGTGATCAAGTGTTCGCAGCACGCCCAGTGAATAGCTTCATCCACAAAGATGACGTACGTACGACCCCAGAGCGTGAAGGTCTGTTTGTACTCGATGATTGAAGTGTGCCGCCAAGATGGTACCTGCTGACTTCGGCTTTGTCAGTGTCCTTCTCCATCCTGCGCAGATCTTGCACTTGGCTATCGTTGTTGGTATTAAGTCAATAACATGCTTTGAGAACTTGCCACGTCCCAAGAAGATAACCATCTCGCTAGCCGGAAGATGCCACATCTTGTAGTGTAATCCCATCAGTAGCTTCTGGGCCTCCTTCGTCGTGATCTTAGGATCCTCGAGCTTCCGCCTGAGCATCCTGATGTTGAAGGATGGCTCGATGTAGTCGGGAAGGTCGGCAACCTGAGGCATGCCCTCAATGGGTTTGTCGTCGAGTGATTCAGCGGGTGCCGCAGGTGGTGCTTGATCGGGCTCAGGAGGTGCTACCTGTGCCGAACTGTTATCTCTAGAAGATACCTGTTCTGCTGGTATTGGCGCTGGTGGCGGAGGTACCCGCACAATAGGTACATCCGCACCCCAGGCGCTCTTCAGCGGTAGTGGCATTGCCTCGGCTGGCTGAGCAGGTGCGTCTGGAGGGAGAGGTGCTGGTACTGGAGCTTGAGCTGGTCCTGGTATTGGAGGCCGTCCAACAATTGCTCGGTTTGGTGCTTCGGTATCTTTAAACCTGCAGCCCTCTGTCCGAGTGTGGACCGGCGTAACTCTCATATCAGCGCCAGGATAGCGAGCTCCGTGTTTGCACCGTTCACAAGTCCAGAAAACCATCAACGATAGACCATCTTCCTTGCCATGAGTAAACTGCCACATGTCTGCGCCAATTGCTGTGCAAAGATTCCACGGATATACTGCTGCCATAGAAGTCCTCCAGGTGCTGGCGCCTGGTACTTTCCCCGACAATTCTCCATGAAGAGGGCACTTGTTTTCGCCAGTACATCGTAGTAGGGTGGACTGGCTGATCTCTATGTTCGCGTAGTCCAGGATAGTCGTCTTCTTGTTGGGCAGGCCCCGGCTGTCTATATATTTGGCTCCATGTTGACACTGATCAAGTACTGCCGAGGTTGTCCGTTTGTCGCTATGAATACATGAGAACGGGCTTTCAGTAAGTAGCTGTGACCCATGAGGTGTCTCCAGAACATAGGCCTGTGTTTTCTGCGTAGAATCAAGAACTTGTTTGCAGCGGTATGTCGTCCATTGAAGGCCTGCTCGTTCTTCTTGTCGTGCTCGTGCTTTTGTTTCTGCCTTGGACGCAGTGTTGGCCTTTGACCAAGGAGAGCACCTTGGAGAAAAGAACTGTACTGAGATCCCCAGCTTGTCATATACTTCATCCAGAATATGTAGATGATCTCGTAGGCCCGTATCCCAGCCATACCGATGGTCAACTGGAAAGCCTGCATTGAGCTGCAGGCGAAGAGCTGCCAGTGAAAGCCTCGAAGACCCTGAGCAAAACTCCTGAATGTCCAATTTGTGACCTAGATCGTTGACCTCCATGACTGGCATGACATGGTAGAGCCATTGAAGTGCATTCAGTGGTGTTACCACTGGAAGAGAACTGCCATTGTAGAATTCTTCCGGCATGCAAGTGTAGTATTTCTCAGCATCTGTCTTCCGCTTTGAGTTCCAGTGTTGAGGCCAGATGCCACCAGAGTATCTCTGGCCAGGAAACTCCATCCATGCCTTGTAGAAGTTATTCTGAAGTATTTCATTCCAGATAGAGTGTTGATCTTGAGGAGGTACTGGTACTGCTTGCATGACTTGGTGCATCGGAGGTGATATGTTGCTGTCTGCTGTTGTCGGTATTGTTCTCGTCGGTGATGTCGGCAGTGCCAAAGCTGCCATCCGTGATGATGAGGTCGGCGTTGTTGGCATGACCGGAGGCTCATGAACTGGTACTGGTGCCAGTTGCCGTGCGATGTTGATCTTGTGCAATCCTGTAGTTGTGATCTCCTCGTCGATGTCTGAAGAGTTCCCAGGGCCACTTTCACCCTCTATGCCTGACGTTCGTACGGCTAACGTCAGGGAGCCAGCGTCCATGCCAACAGAGCCTTTCCGCTTCTTGTGATGGCTATTGGTCGAAGTACGCATGACCTCGTTGAAATACTGCACTACGGTTTTCCTCAGCTTCTTCTGATCTGACCACGATGCCTGCTTGAGGTCGCCTGTCGGAAGCAAGTAGTGACATGAGTCTGTCAGATACAGCCTGATGAAGAAAGTCTGAGGGATTGCTGTCGTATGAGGGCCTCCGGAGCCCACAACTTTGATAATCATGATGCTGTCGCCTCCTTGCAATGCCCCACACAGGATTGATGACTGGAGTCGAAGCAAAACGCTGAGTGGAAGAAGTCCTGGGCACTTCGAGCCCAGATCACCAAGCAAGTCCAAATCAATCGTGACTTCGGCAATGCCAGGAAGTGGAATGCCGAGAGGTGTCTCAGCCA